CCCCCCCCCCCCCCCCCCCTCCCTCACGCGCTCATGAACCCTTGAAGCCCGAACTCCCAACCACTTTACAGCTCAACCTCCTCAGCCACCCATCCTTCTCAGGCAGATACGGCTTCGGGAGTTTAGGGTTTCTCCTTCAGCGCTTTGGGGGTCCTCCGTCCTGGTGCTTAGTGAGGTTGGGCCTAGGATCTAGTGCTTTGGGTTTTGGATGCAGGGTTTTTTCTCGAGGTGCCCTCAACCCTAAACCGTAAACCCTGAACCCTGAACCCTAAACCCGTCCTGTCGCAGGAGGAGTTACTGCTTCTCAACGATGCCCTTGCCGCCAAAGGCGGCGAGCAATCGACCTCATTGGAGCCTCAGTAATTTCCGGCCATCGTTCTTTTCATGGGTTTGGGGTTTAGGGTTTAGGGTTTAGGGTTTAGGGTTTAGGGTTTCGGGTACTTCTCTTAACTTGGGGTCCCTTGTAGGGTTCCTCACAAGGATCTATAGGGGTTCCCATAGGGTTTCTATAAGGGTACTGTAGGGGTAGTTTTCTAAATTCGGTCCCTTTTGAGTCCTCAAAGTCGTACGGCACCCTTACAAGAAGGACCCTAGGCCCTAGACAAAACCCTGATTTAGAGAACTACCCTCATACGTGTAAGGTATGTAAGGCAACGTAAGGTAGGGTTTATAGTATAGGGCTTCTGGATTTGAGGTCTCTGACTTAGGGTTTGTGCGATGGGGTTGTACTGAGTGTGAATTATTCGTCTCTCCAAAAAATTGGCAAGTGCATCTTTGGATTATTATTTGGGGGGGGGGGGACCAACAAAGAGTGCAAATGATGTACATCAACCTATACCCACCCCCCAGAACTTACAACCCCAAACCTCGGATACCTCCAGACCCTGCACTACCTGAGGTCCTGACTCCTATACACTACACGGCCTTGATGGCCTAAGCTCCGAAACCGGAAACGAGCCTAGTGTAGTGTCCAGGACACCCGCCTGATCCCCGACACTCGAAACGCCCACAGGGGAATAGAAGGATGCAGCCCTAAACCCTAAACCCTAAACTGACACGAAGGATCATTGATACATGCGAGGACCATGGTACAAGTATGGCAGCCATAGTTTAAACGACTCCTACTGATAAAGATGCTTCCAAGCCGTGGCTCAACAAGGACTACCCGCGATCCTTCAAGTAGTAAGCAGCTTATACCAACAATATCATAGAAGAGCCTGTGCTACAGTGGTAGCAAGATCAAAATCATGCGCATGTTCTATTCAAAAACTGGTCCTAAACCCTGAACCCTGAACCTGGATCCAAGCTTGTAGTGCAGAATGCTAGGCCCTACAGCCTTAAACCCTAATTCAGGCTGATCGCGGTAAGGCCATGAAGCACCCCATATGGTTTAGTTGGGGTCAATCGCTACTGCTTTGGTTTAGGGCAGTTTGAGTTCAGGGGTTTAGGGGTTTGTAGGGTTTAGGGTTTAGGGTTTGTAGGGTTTAGGGCCTAGGGTTGAGGGGCCTTTCTCGTTTTTCCTGTCCTACATTGCTCTTCTATACGAAGGACGGTAAGGATCCAAGCTGCGTTCCTTTCCGTTTCGGAGACCCAGCACCCTAAACCTTAAACCCTGCAGTGCTTGGATGCTGGGAAAAAGGGGCTCAAACAAACAAGAACCTAAACCGTGTTGGGTTTGGAGTTTAGGGCGCTCAGGGTCGAGCTCTGAAACCCGCATAACCTAATTTATGAGGGGTTCAGAGTTCAATCTTTGTAAGTCCTACACCTGATTAAGCCGTAAATCTTAAATACGAGCATGCGGAATGTAGCTCTGCATCGAGATCGAGACAGAGGCCAAAAGAGGTTTCACGGAGGCTTTTGAAAAGTCGAATCTTGGCTAAAGCCAAGGAAACTGCGTCCCGGCACCCCGGCGGTTGCTCAGAGTCGCTGTGGTAAGAGCTAGACTAGGGTTGAGGGTTTAGGGGTTTGGGGTTTAGGGTTTAGGGTTTAGGGTTTAGGGTATAGTGACTAAACAACGAAAGCCTGTACATGTTCCTAGACTCCCAACTACCCTCTATTATCCCCCAAATACCCACTATTAAGGACCATAAGGGCTCTATTAAAGGGCCATTGGGAGTAACCATCCTTAGACTTGGGTGTAGTGTCAAGAGCCCGGGAACTCCACACTCTTGGGCCGTTGTTGCGACCGCCGGGGCTGTCTTTACCGGCAGCTACGCAAGGTTTCTATGCTCCGAATGACTGCATGATGGGTCTCAATAACTCCGAGCATCGGTGTCTGATCTTACTTCGGCATTTGCGGTTTAGGGCTCTAGGGTTTTGGTGTGTATCAGAATTTGGTCTTGCCTGGATGTTTAGTAGTGCTGTCAAGTGCAAACCCTGCGTCATCTCGGAACCAACGGATCGACTTCCGATTCATGCAGAGATGACTTCTGCTCAGAGAAGAAAAATCCGCAATAACCTATGCCCTGCTTCCTGGCAGCGGCATCTGACTTGGTATCCGGGTGAAGGTCGAAATTGACC